GGCTCCCAAGAGTGGCGCCTAGGCGCCATGTTTCTGTCTGGTTCCACAATCGGGGCACCTAGGCGCCACTCAAGGCACCATTCCACTTCTCATCCTCCTCTTTTCTACTCCTTCTTCCTCTCTTCTACTCCTCATTTCTCACAATTCTCCACCTCGTACATCATTTGATAGAACTCAAATTTTGGACGAACACAAGAAGAAGTAGCAAGTGCTAAACTCGGCTGCACCATTCAAACAATGATTGCCTACGTACCCAAAACTCGGGATCAAGCCTCCGTAGTTCACCTCCACCTTCATATACTCTTCACCTCATTTCAACCCCGCCCCGAAGGGCCATGCCCACTCGGGCATATCAACACGGACTAATGTGAAGCAAGTCTAAGCAATGCTGAAACTTGCTACCCGTTACCACTTTGGTTAACATGTCAGCTGGGTTCTCATTTGTGTGTACCTTCGAGAGTGAAATATCACCTTCCTCTATGACATCACGCACAAAATGATACCTGACGTCAATATGCTTGGTTCGAGCATGATGAACCTGATTCTTAGCCAAGTGAATCGCACTCTGGCTATCACACCACAAGTCCACACAATCCTACTCAATCCCCAAATCATCTAGAAGACCCCACAACCACAATGCTTCCTTCACTCCCTCTGCCATGGCCATATACTCAGCCTCTGTAGTAGAAAGAGCAACTGTAGCCTGTAACATTGATCGCCAACTAACTGGGGCACCATGTATGCAAAACACATATCCAGTAGTAAATCGTCGTCTATCTAGATCACCTGCATAATCCGAGTCCACAAACCCACTTATATGACATGGATCTCCACCAAAACATAAACCCGTATCCGCAGTACCTTTTGAGTACCTCAGGATCCACTTCACAGCTTTCCAGTGTGCCTTTCCCATATTCGCCATGAATCTACTGACCACACTAACCGCCTATGAAATATCTGGGCGTGTACACACCATGTCATACATCAAACTGCCAACTGCACTGGCATAAGGTACACAATCCATGCGTACCTTTTCTTCCGCTGTAGTAGGAGACTGTTTACCAGAGAGCCTGAAATGTGGAGCCAATGAAGTCACCACCGACTTTGCACCTTGCAACCCGAACTTAGCAATAACCCGCTCAATGTAGCCTTTCTGACTCAAGAACATTCGCCGGTTCATCCTCTCTCTTCTAATCTCCATACCCAGTATTTTCCTAGCAGCCCCCATTTCCTTCATCTCAAACTCTTTACCAAGTTGAGATTTCAACCTATCTGTCTCCACCTTGCTTTTCAAAGCGATAAGCATGTCATTCACATACAATAGAAGATAGATATAGTTACCTTCCCGAAGTTTCCGAATATAAACACAACGGTCATACTCACTTCTAGAGAAACCATGCTTTAGCATGAAGAAGTCAAATCGCTTGTACCACTGCCGAGGAGATTGCTTCAATCCATATAGTGATTTTCTCAAGCGACATACCTGACGTTCCTTATCCTCAACCTTGTAGCCCTCATGTTGATACATATAGATTTCCTCATCCAAGTCCCCGTGCAAGAAGGTGGTTTTGACATTGAGTTGTTCCAACTCAAGATCATGATGAGCAACAATACTTAATAGCACCCGAATGGAAGTGTGCTTGACCACCGAAGAAAAGATCTTATTGTAGTCAACTCCCTCTCTTTGTGCAAATCCCTTAGCCACTAACCGTGCTTTGAATCTTGTACCACCGAGTTTGGTAGGATCCTCTTTCTTTTTGTACAACCACTTGCAACCAATAGCTTTCTTATCTATGGGCAATGGGACAACCTCCCATGTTTGGTTCTTGTGAAGTGATTCCATCTCTTCTTCCATCGCTGCCAACCAATTCTCACTATTGTTGTTTAAAATAGCTTCCTTGAAAGTGGTAGGCTCATCATCCTCCACCAAGAGTGCATACTCAACCAAATTTGTCTGCCCATAGTGCCTCAAAGGCTTGTCTGACCCCAACTTTAGAACTTGCTTGTAGGTACGGCATGGCCTAGAGGAAGCCAAGTTATCTGCAAGCTGCTTTATTGCTGTGCCTGTACATTCTCTTGCTGAACCGCCTCTTGTTCAAGCCCATCATCACTCTCATCTTGAGTGTCTGCATGATGCTCCTCTTGAACATGCCTAGAACCAGGTTGATCTCTAGGTTCTATGTCAACAACTTGAGACTTTGTAGTTTCAACATCATCACCACCGGGCACTGTAGCTTTCAACGAAGCTACCATGGGATTCTCATCAAAAGTAACATCTCTGCTGATTATGAACTTAGAATCCTCTACACACCATAGGCGATAGCCTTTAACACCTGCCGCATACCCCAAGAATATAGTCTTCTTGACCCTCGCATCAAGCTTTCCCTCGTTGACGTGATAGTAGGCTGTGCATCAGAATATTCTGAGTTTCTCATAATCTGCATGTTCTCCTGTCAATACCCTGTAAGGTACATCTCCATCTAACCTTGAATGTGGAGACCGGTTCACTATGTAGCAAGCATTTGCAACCGATTATGCCCACCATTCTTTGCCCAAACCAGCATAGGATCGCATACACATCGATTTCTCTCGAAATGTGCTATTCAGTCTTTCTGCGACCCCATTTTGTTGCGGTGTATTTCTAACTGTCCAGTGTCTCGCAATGCCTTCCTTACCACAGAACTCCTTGAAAGTACCATCTGTATACTCAGTACCGTTATCAGATCGCAGTGTCTTCAATTTCTTTCCTATTCTGTTTTCAACCATTGCTTTCCACTTGGGTCTCCACCACTTCCACTTGTTCCAACTGCTACATCTTCAGTAACTGTAGTACCCTGAAGAGCATAGAGATTGCCTTTACGAATACCCTTCATCACAATCAAAGAACCACGAACAACCTTCTTTACTCCATTCCATGTTACAATCTTGCAACCACTGGAGTCTAAGGCACCAACAGAGATAAGGTTCTTCCGCAAATCAGGAACATGTCTAACATCCATCAATGTTCTAACCACTCCATCATGCATCTTAATTCTAATTGAACCGAGCCCCACCATTTTACAGGAATGGTTATTACCCATCAACACGGTTCCACCATCAGTGCTTCTATAGGTAGTAAACCACTTCCTATTTGGACACATATGGTAAGAGCATCCAGAGTCAAGAATCCACTTATCAGAGGTTTCTTTATCACAAGAGATGGTGTAGCACTCATCGCTTTTCCTTCCTTCCGAGGCATAGCTTACCTCTTGCTTGACTTGCACCTTCCCGTTGTTATTGTTCTTATTGTTCTTCTTCCAACCCTTTTTGTTAGGACAATTCGCCTTGAAATGCCCAAACTAGCCGCATTTGAAACAAGACCTTTTTACAAGAGGTCTAGAACTCAATCTAGATTTTTCTCCCTTACCCTTTGGTCGTACATTGCTTCTACCCCTTACAAACAATTCTTGAGCTTGCTCCTTGTCCTCCATCACAAGTTTATCACCCACAAGCATCAATATTTATACTAGGTTCTCATAAGACTTTGGCAATGAAAGAAGTAGTAGAAGTGCTTGATCCTCATCATCTACTTCCACATCAATGTCCTTCAAGTCCGATATGATCCTATCAAACTTGTTGACATACTCCCGGATTGGTGTACCTTCATCCATCTTGCAAGTATACAATTTGGACTTCAAATAGATCTGATTTGTTAGAGTCTTCGTCATGAAGTTCGCCTCCAACTTTGTCCACACCTCTGCCGTCGTTACCTCACTATCAACCAAGAAAGCAGCATCACTTTCAAGGCATAGAATGATAGATGCTCGTGCCTCAAGATCTAGCTCTTCCCAATCCTCGTCCGACATATTTACGTGCTTCTTCTCCTTTCCAGCCAACGCCTTGTGCAACTTTTGAGAAATCAACAAATTTTTCATTTGCATTCTCCAATATGAAAAATCATTCTTCCCATTGAATTTCTCTATCTCATACTTCCCAATCTTTACCATTCCTCTAGTAGACATGATTTATCTACTTGTTAACCGGAAATAAACCACCAAAGTTCACTTGAAAATTTTCACAAACACCTTGTGTGCACAACAAAGTTCAAACAACTCACCAAAAATCGAAGTTTAACCACCTTGATTTAAGAAGAAGCTCTGATACCAAATTATTGAAAAAACGACCTCCCAAGATTGCCCAAGAAATAAAGCTTGACAATGTGAAACTTCCCAAACCACTTCAAGAACAAGAAAATGGGGAAGAAATGATTTTCAATGTATATTGGAAGAGTAATGAATTTGGATTACTTGAACAAGCCTCAAGTTAATCTCCAAGAAAGAAAATAGTTTTGAATTTATACCCAAGATGAACAACCTCAATCTTGTAAAATTCTATCCAAGCTTTCTCCCTTTTTCTCTCTCAAAATCGGGTGCTAGGTTTGTTGCATTATGAAAGGGCAAAAAACCGGAAATATATATATGTATCGGGGCGCCTAGGCGCCATGTTTCTGTCTGGTTCCACAATCGGGGCGCCTAGGCACCACTTGAGTGGCGCCTAGGCGCCATTCCACTTCTCTTCCTCCTCTCTTCTACTCCTTCCTCCTCTCTTCTACTCCTTCTTTCTCACATAAACCTTGTGTTCTTGTTCTTATTTTATATATTGGCAATTCTCACGTTGCATGAAAAATATCACAACAAAATGGTATAAACACCATTCATACCTGAAAATAAATATTACAGAAGATGAACTTAAACATACATATATATTTTATAACATACAATGAAAACTTTCACAGCCGGAATCCTTTTTTAAGAACAAAAAGAAAACCTATATATTTAATCCAAATTAATTTCTTCACGCGTCAATCCTATGCAAATATCAAAATTATACTCCAATTATACTCCCACGCATTCATCTTGATCATCGACATTCTCTCTGGATGCCTCCTCGAGTGATTTTCCTTTAGGTTCTGGCACAGCAAACGTGCAAACCATTCCTAATACATTAATGACGCCAAGAACAATAAGGGAGTTCCTCACACCAATGCCAGGTGGGTAGCCAGCATCCGTTTTTGAAGCGTCTTTGCTTTGAGCAGCATAGAGAAATCCATAAGCACCAACAATGGCGCCTGCTTTGCCAGCAGCTGCAGATATTCCATGGCATGTAGACCGAAGCCTGGCTGGGAAAATTTCAGCTGGGACGACAAATGTTGTTGCATTTGGCCCAAAATTGGCAAAGAAAAATGTAAGTGCGTACATTATAATAAATCCAACCCTGTTAGCCTTTTCTGTCCAGTGTTGGTAAGGAATGGCTATGGCGAACATGAAAACTGTCATGAAGAAGAAGCCCATTAATTGGATTGCGAATCGTCCAATGATGTCAATAAAAGCTACTGTAAACCAATAGCCTGGAACTGTACTGCAGAGGGCAATTAAGGTTTGTGCTTTAGAAATGCGAAAAACTTCCTCGATAGCATTCATGGTTTTGGCAGGTGGGATCCATCCAACTGCACTGAAAACGTCTTTCTGGAAAAGATTTTGGCTATAAAATGCAATGTCTAGAAGAAACCATGTAGAAGTTGTTCCAAATAAGTGAAGGCCATGGCGGCGAACAAATTCTTTGGAGAATAAACCGAAAGAATTGGATTTGCGTTCTGCAAGTTTCTGTACTTTCTCTTCTTCTGCTTCAAGTTCGACATTCAACACATTGGCCATATCTTGAGCTGCTTGTTTCGCATTTTTGGCCACCAGGGCAGTGTAACGAGCAGTTTCTGGCATCTTCATCCGCCAGTAGTACGTCAGGGCTGCCGGAAGAGCACCAAACATTAGAATTATACGCCAAATGTAATCTGCTTGTGGCACCAATGAGGCTGCTGCGTTATCCTCATAGGCTGGAGCATTGTACTTGTGATCAAATCCTGCTGATACAGCTAAAGAAATAATCCCACTAAACAAAATCCCAAACCCTTGCATTGCAAAAACTGCAGCAATGAAAGCTCCGCGAGTTTTCTTGTTGGCATATTCGGACATAATAGTGGCTGAAAGAGGATAATCACCTCCAATACCAAACCCTAGCCAGAATCTGAAGAAACAAAGAGTGGCCACGACACCTTTTGGGCTTGATCCAAAGGATAAGCCCGATGCAACTGAGCATACAACCATGAGAAGCAGAGTTATACCATATACTTTTTTCCGGCCCATCTTGTCGCCGAGCCAACCAAAGAACAGTTGCCCAGCTAGGGTTCCGACTAGAGCCACACCGGTGACTGAAGAGGAAACACCAGGAGGTAATGTGCCTGGCTTTGGTGCACCTGGCTCTGTGTAATATATACGCCCCAATAACTTGGTCACTAAGGAAATGCTGAAAAGATCATAGGCATCTGTGAAGAAGCCCATTCCAGCAACAACAATGGCTGTGAAATGGTAGAGTTGAATCTTGGCTACATCAAGTGCATTAAGCACTTTCAATTGATCTCCAGCCATGGTTGAATTTATCTCTTAATTATTCTGCATTTGAGATTAAACATGATTTACAAATTGTTAGACCTCAAGATCATTAATTTGTTTTATTATATTATTCATGATCAAAGGCAGAAGTAATTGGTTCTTCATTTTCAGTATTGCTAATATTCTTCAAGATTTTCTTAACAGATTAATTAACCTTGCTTATAAATTAAAATGAACATCAATAAATTGAGTTGCTTACAGTTATCACTATCATGCATGCATTTTCGAGTTAATACAAAAAGATATATTTTTGTATAGACAGTATAAACATATAAAAATATTTAGAAATGAAACCGATTGCGGTAAAATCAAAGTCAAAACGTTAATAACTTTCATAATCAAGTTACACTGTAAATTCTCAA